ACCCTCTGTGCATTCCCGGGGGTGAAGGTGCGCGGGGAGCGAGCTCTCGCCCGCTGCATCCCCTTTCGGCCCCGGCAGCCAAGCCTTGGCCAAAGTGGGCTTGGTGTTTCCCGGGTGACGGAACGCATCTCGGGTTCCTGCCCGCTGCGAGCCGAGTCGTGAGCGCAATAAAAATGCTCGAATTACGCGACTAATGAAAGCAAATAGTTTTCCAGGTGAGTGAGGAGCAGTGTGTTCGGCGGCAGGGTAAAGCCAAGCCCGTGGACCGCAGGGTGCGTTATCCCTAGGCTTTCGCCGGACTGCAGAGCAGCAGCAAGCTGAACTTCCTACAAGGAGCATCTAATACCGGGCTTGGCTGACCTGCCCGACTCGGGGGATATTTAGGTGTTGGAGAAAACGTTTTCGGCTTTAGCTGAGTCGTAAAAACACTGTAGAAGTGACGTCGGTGGCCGCCTGAACTCCAACTGGTTTCCTGTTGCTGCCGGCCTTGAGTCAGAGCTCGCAGAGTCTGTTTCTGCGAGGAGGGGTTCTGCTGGCAGGTTCATGTTTGTTGACGTTCGGAAGTGGGAGGTGAAACCAGCTTAGCTACAGAAACTGGGTGCTGAGCCAGCCAGCCGGCCTCGGAGATTTGTCAGCTTCCTCAGTCCTTCCAGGTAATCTTTAGACTGGTCACAGTGGGGAATAAAGTCATAGTAATTCCTGGATCAGTCTCCTCTTCCCAGCTCTCAGGTAGTTCTTTGATCAGCGGAGTGACATACCACTTTACATGCAAGTGGAACAAATGACACGTTTTTTTAAAACTAGAAAGAGCTGCTCAGCACGATAGGCAGAGATCACAAGTGCTCAAGATGACTCTTCACAGCTGGCAGATGGCACAGGCGGACGATCCAACATCTCTTTGTAAATACGAGACAAGACTGTGTTTCAGAAAGGAGAGGAGCATCCTGTGGCAGTCACTGAGTGACTTCCTACAGATGGCATGGTTAAATTTTCATTATTCGATGCCATAAAGTCTGCTGGGGAACAGAAAACTTCAGAATCAGTTGAAAAAGTAGCAGTGATGTCATACAGAAGGGAATAAGTCTGCCATTCATCTCCAGCTCGGTGAAAGTACACCGTTCACAAAAAGGGGGAGAAGAGTGCTGTTCACTTCAGAAACCCAACACACTGATAGAAAGCTACCTTTACCACTGCGAGTAGCTAAAAGGCCATACTTACCAAGAGGTTTTGTCTTGCTGCTTTCTTGGAGTGCTTCTCACATACTGCCTGTAGTAGCTGAGCGGGGGTGGTACGGCCATCGCCAGTCCCGTTTAGCATCGTTATAAGGTATTGGAGAGTTAAGGGATTTCACTCACTGTCAACCTCTCAGCTCTGATGTGTGAGAGCTAAGAGAAACATTTGTGCTTACAGGACTTCCCTGTAATTTTCCAAAACTTAAGTATATACAAAATTTTCTTCTTCTAAGACTCTGCTAATACTTCAGGATTTTAAAATACTCTCAGATACATGGGCACATTCAATTTCTTTTGCATTATCTGATTGCAACTTCTAGTAATGAGAAGGTGTCAGGATACTATCTATCCTACATACTATGCAAAAGTAATTTCATGTGGATGTAAGTTCTTTAAGATTTTAATCTTCAGCTGCAGGCTATGGATATACCCACCTTGTGGAACCGCTTTTGTGAAGTTTGGCTTAAAAATACAAAACAATTCCTGTTATATAGAAACTCTCTTGGCCAGCAAGGAAATGTGATTGCACAGCCTGAAATTAAATGTTAAATTCCTGTAGTGTGTTTGTTGTGCAGTATGGCATGGGAAAACTGGGAGCAGATACTCATTCTAGTTCCTTATTTGTAAAGGGTTGTATCTCCCGGTGTTAGTGTCAGCATTGTCAGCTGCAAATGAAGATATGCTGTCAAATTTCATACCATTTTTAATATTTGTGGTATTTTAAATATCCCTTCCTAATCACTATTAGTTGACTTGTCCAAGGCTGTATATTGTTATTGGTGCAATGAAGTATTTTTGACAGAACATTAATATTTCCAGAGCTTAGGTACGAACAGACGCAGGAGCACATCCCTTTCTACCAAGTCTCCAAGTGTTTTTTTCAGTTGGGAAAGAAGTGAGTGTGTTACTGATGGTGCCACTTAGCAGGATTAATCCTTCATGTGTCATTTTAATTACAGGGGAAACATGGACAGCAGAATTATTTGTTGCATCCAATGCTTCAAATGAATCACAATGGACACAGCTTTTGTACTTCTGTACCAGCTGTTTCATATTTTAACGTGTCTTCACAACAAAACCTTTCTTTCCAAAAATGTTGTCCTTAAAAGCTATTCCAGCCTAGATTCTCTGATCCACGCTGGTTTGTGCTGCTGTCTACCATGAGAAACTGAAACGTCCGCCTAGGCCACTCTAAGCCCTGTGCAGCATTGCTGCCTGTCCCCTGCTTCTCTGTGCAAAGTAACGACTCCTGTTGTTCTTGGAAATGCAGTACCTCTTCTTCCCATAATAAACATGTCTAAGCTGGTGCCATTGCCACAGGGGGCTGTCATCAGAGCGATGCTGGTAAGGCTTGGCTGTCTGAGAGTGCAGAGCTGGAGCCGTAGCTCCGGATGACCTGGCACTATAGCTGTGCCGCAGGGATAACCGGAGGGATATCCAGAGGGATCGTGCATTGCAGGCTGTGGCCTTCCACCAGCCAGGGGTTGTTGAGGTTAGATGAAAATTGCTGTGAGTTGTAATGAAGCCTCCACCTCAAAATTTTGTGATTGGTTAAAGAAGATATGGCTCACACAGTAGTCACTTAACAATTTTAATAAAATGTATTAGTACCTGTATGCAGCAAGGGTTTACTCCCCATATAGATTTTAAAATTTTTCCTTCTATTTTTTATTTGCTGTTTCCAAATCTTTCTGTGAAAGCAGAAGCCTGGAATAACATCAGGCTTATTCTAACAGGCAAAGTCTGAAATCATGGATTTGGCTATATGTTTATATACTGGGGATGTGGGCTCTGTACAACAGAAAGGAGCCCTTTCTTCTTGAGGTTTCAGGTTAGCTTTTGTGATTTCAATTGAATTTTACATTGAAGATAACATTTTATTGTTCCATTCCTTGGTATTGCCCTAATTGCTTGACTGAACCAATGTAGTGCAGAAAATATATATAATCTAATGTGTGCACCTGTGAATTACAGGGGTGGATCATGACCTGGGGCAGTGTTGTGTGTGTTACGTGGATTTTGCATGGTCATTTTTTTATTTGCATGGTCAGAAATGACAAGCGCTCTGGGAAGGCGTGGAAGGGAGTGAGGAATGCTAGGACAGGGCTCCTTCAAAGCTGTGCCTGGTTCATGAATCCCTTGTCCTTCTCTTTCTCCTCCCAGGTGCTGTGCTCTCTTTTGCTTGCCATGACTCCTGCCAAGCATGGTGCCAGATCATCAACGTGTCTGAGTCCTGCTCTTCTCTCCTTGCTTCTATGGACGGGATTCTCAACGAAACAAACCGGAGCGTTTCCACGCCTGCTGGAAGCAAATATCGGCTCTACATTGGCTTGGCTTTGGCGATAGGTTCCAGTATCTTTATTGGTTCTAGTTTCATACTGAAGAAGAAAGGACTTCTGAAACTGGCAGAGAAAGGAGTCCCCCGAGCTGGTAAGTGGGGGTGCCCACCTTGCTCTGGCTGGAGACACAGTCGCCGCTGTTACAATTTGGCAAAATCGAGGTTTGAGTCACAAATCACATGTTTAAGTTGAAAACCGTCGTACTTTAACGGTGATCAGCTAGGGATGGAAATAGGGTGCGATTACAGGGACTGAGATTTCAGAATTCTTAGGGCTATGGGGGCAGTGGTGGGTATTAAATATAGTGAGCTGGTGATATTTTCTCCTGGAAAGCAGTTAGATACCAAATAAAGTTCTCCCTTTGCCTTACCCTTCAAAACGCCTCTCTCTTTTTTTCCCCCATCTTTCCCTCCCCCACCCTCATCTGAGATGGAAAGTCTTAAGAAGGTAGCTAGATTTAGTTCTTCTTTTTAAAAAAGGAAGTGCAGTACTTACTACAAAAGTTTCTATGGTTAGTACAGCTATTTTTCCGTCAAAGTCAACAGATGAAGGGGTAGAAAAATGTGGAGAGCTTTTAAAAAACCTGATAGACTAGTCCTTTGTATGGATTTAAATATATAGCATCAGCAGTTTTGTTTGTTGTGTTTCTTGCAATATACTCTACCAGAGAATTTGGTTATTTGAAAAAAAAAGTGTTACTGAATGTTTGATATACTTAGGTTTTATATAAAACAAATTAAACCATGCAGTGGCATTTTTCTTTCTAATTTCTCTCAATTTAGAGAGAAGCAGAGCCAAAATACAGCTGATAGTGTATGAAGATATTGGATCTGACCTGGGAAAGCACTTTGAAGTGTTTCTTAAGCTCACCAACAATCCCCGTGGACATTTTACTTTTGCTTGGAACTTTCCTGCATGTGTATTTACTCAAATACCATTTTTCACAAGTCCATGTCAAAAAGCAGTAGAACAATTAATAAAAAATGTCGGTCAAAATCGAACTAAATATTCTTCACGTCGCAAACAGATAATGTGTGCTTTCAGTACTTTGTAGGACTAGATGCAAATGTGAAGCTGTAGTTTCATTTATTACAATAAAGTGATCTCTTTCTTCTAAGATGAGGTTACTTTTTCTGCTTTCAGGACAGGGTGGATATTCTTACCTAAAGGAATGGCTTTGGTGGGCTGGATTGCTCTCAAGTAAGTCACCGTTTTCCTCTCTACCCATATGTAAATGCTTCATAAAGCAGATTGTTTTAAATAGATTTGTTCCCTGATTTTTAACTCCCCTCACTTAAAAGAAATGTCTTTGCAACCACCTTTATGACAGAAGCTGTTCTGATATCCCATCTCCCAAATACTGTGTTCGCTCTTTGAAACTCTTTGAAGAATAACAACCTTTTCTTTAATATCCAGTCAAAAGCAATGGGTTTGAATCTGCCCAACTTCTAGGAGCACTTAGGGGAAAAGTATTTAACTTTCTTCAGCGTTTGTTATGTCCAGAGGAAGTTAGATAATTTTGAAAGGAAAATTTGCATATGTAGTGTAGAAAAAAGGTTTTGGTTTAATTTTGCTATCATAGCTAGCGTACAAAATATTTATAATAGTATGCCTTTTATTCCCCTCCTTCAGCCTGATTGAAATGTTCTTTCTTCTGCAGTGGGATTAGGAGAAGCTGTAAACTTTGCTGCCTATGCCTTCGCACCTGCAACCTTAGTTACCCCCTTGGGTGCACTGAGCGTTCTCATAAGGTTAGTAAGACTGGATGCAAACCTTGACAAATGAACCATTGACTGCGGGAAGGAGAAATACTGTCTTTGGCTGAAAGCAGAGAATTTTAATAAGAAAATTAAAAGCAATATATAGACAAAAAGTGTTTTTTGTTCCATGGTGGAAAGAACTTATTAGAACGTATTTAGAACTGAATTTTCTGGGTAAGGGGAATGAGGAAGTCTTGTTGCAAAGACTTTCCCAACCGCCTTTCAGATACGTTATAAAGGGGTTTTTTTTCAGTGTATACCAGGGATTCTGCTGATGCAGAGTGGTAGAAGGCTGTAATTTGTCTCTTCCTAGAGAACTGAAGCTTTCTTAAAAATTGTTATCTTGTTCTTTAGCTGTGACAAAACTTTAAAAGAAAATACAGTCATCCTCTGTTTAAAATGTTTTAAACCCATTCATTTTTCATAGGAGTAATTTCATATTAAGACACACTTAGTAAGCATTTTCAGTTGGTTTGGTCTTTTCCAAGTCCAGGAAGGCAAAGAAAATTTCACCTTTTTTAATATCTTCAGTTAAAATCTGTGGTTCTTCTGAAATATGAATGCCTTTCAAACACTCATTATTTCCTCTGTATGAAGAAACGAGTGATTTCCAAGTACTTAAGCATGTACATCAATATGGCTATCACAGAAGCAGAAAATCCGTGAATTATGCTTACAACAAACTTTCTGGGAAATAATCTATTAGCAAAATGGAATTACTGTATTTTACATGTTAAACACTTACTTTCAAGACCCGAGTGTTCTATATGAAGCACTGTGTTTAAAACCAACCTGGGACACGTTTGCTTGAGGTTTTTTTTAAAGATGTTTGCAGTAACCTAACTGCTAAAACGGCAGCTGTTCTGTCATAGCAAAACCGTGGTAACTGTCACCTACAGATGTGCTGGCATCAGCGTGGAGGTAGATGCAGACTGGCTGGTGCTTCGCAGCAGTTAACGCAAGCGTTAACAACCCTCTGATGCGGATAGCAATCTCTCTAATTTTCATGAAACAGAGAGGTCATGAGAACTTCATGTCAGTGAGCTTGTAAGCCCTTGTGTGAAAAAAATAGCTGTAATAAGATCAGTCCATTTTAAAACTATTTGTGAGCGTGTCCACATAACGTTAAGCCTAAAGTTGAGCTCTAGCTGGCTAATCCATCTGAGATGGCCTTATTTGGGGCCTGTTATTATGCTTTATGTTAAATCTTGAGCCCCTTGGAGAGCCTGGGATCAGTCGTCTTTGTCGGGGGAGATGTGCCTTCTCCGTCTTTTTGGGGGATGCCTGGCAAGTCAGGCAGAAACCGTGCCTGGGTGTGAGAGTTTGGGGAGAGATGAGGAACAGTGTCCAAAAGTGGTGTGGGTTGGTTCTAATGGCAAATTAAGTGCTTTAAATCGTTTTTGGAATAAAGTAACAGCTTGTATGGTCAATCTACAGGTGTGTGATACACACCTGACCCAGGCAATCCGTAATCAGAAGTTCCTTGAGCATTTTGGACCCTTTACAACCTGAAGGAGAGGGATTAGGGTTGCTGACCACCCTAAAGCCTGGCCTGACCTCCTTGGCCCTGACCAGTCATCCTCCAAAGCTCCTTAAAATTTGATTGTTTCAGGCTGGTTTCCCATATATCCAAATTCAAAAGAGGTTTTGAATTGCTGTCATGTTACACAGAAAGATTTTGAATGGCTGAACCTTTTCTTTATATTTTGCCAAACAGTGCTATATTGTCATCCTATTTTTTAAATGAGAAGCTGAATATTCATGGAAAGCTGGGCTGTGTACTGAGCATCTTGGGGTCAACGGTCATGGTTATTCACGCCCCTGAGGAGGAGGAGGTCACCTCACTAGATGAGATGGAAAGCAAGCTGCAAGATCCAGGTCTGTATACAATTGCAATGAACTTGTGCTACAGTTCATAGAGGAGTGGTCGGGGCACTGGGTAACTGGATGGAGTTCTGATATTTTCTCCCAGGCTCATTACTCTTCTTCCCTTCCCCTTTCTTACAGTGTTTGTTACGTTTGCTGTTCTCCTAACAGTTGTTGCCCTCATGCTGATTTTTATCGTGGCTCCAAGGAGGGGTCAGACAAACATCCTGGTCTACATTTCGATTTGCTCGCTCATCGGTGCCTTCTCTGTCTCATCTGTGAAAGGCCTGGGCATTGCCATTAAGCAGATGCTGGAGCGGGAACCAGTTTATCAACATCCATTGGTTTACATTTTGGTGGGCATCTTGGTGCTCTCTGTCAGCACTCAGATCACTTATCTCAACAAGGCGCTGGACGTGTTCAATACGTCTCTAGTGACGCCCATTTATTACGTGTGTTTCACCACGACGGTTGTGGCATGCTCCATCATCCTGTTCAAGGAGTGGAGTAGTATGGACCTGGGGGATATGATTGGAACCCTGAGTGGATTCTGCAGTATCATCGTAGGCGTTTTTCTACTGCACGCTTTCAAAAATATTAATATCACCTGGAGTCAGTTGATGTCTACTGTTACCAAAGAACCATCGTTACCGCACCGTGAATACGGTCACACTTTACTGGAGAGCATGGAAGACCCAGCTTTGGCGTATGAGGAGGACAACGTGTTATTCAGTCAATGAAACGCTCAAGCGGTGTTCATCGCTGAAGGATCATGAATTGCAGACTCAGCCCATCTGTGAATACCAGAACGCTGCTCTTTTCTGCAGTCCTCTGGAAGACGGTCTGTAAGGCCGGTTAAGTGTGGGCCGTGCCTCTGCGCCAGCTCTTGGTAGTAATGAGCAAAAATGTTCAATCATTAACTTGACGAACGGAAACTTGAGGGTCTTTGTATGCCAGGCAATGAACAACCTTTTCTATACAGCATCTCCTGTTGGAGAATTTTAGCAGGAAAGGATGGTCTTTGTAAGCTGTGTTTACAAAGCGTAATTTTCCCATCATGATAAAAGATAATCCTTGCTGAAGTGGCAAGCACTCTGCTGTTCTTTTAGTAATGGCCTTAATATTTCAGGCTTTCTTCATATTTTTATAATTTATTGCCGTGAAAACTTTTAGATAGTCTTGTGGAAGGATTTAATTGGAAGGATATTAATTAGAAATGCGATAGGAAGAAAATAACTCTTTTAGCTTTTAATATAAAATTTTATGCACGGGGTTTTTTTTAATTTTTTATGACCTACCACTGAATCTTGAAGAGGAGTCACCAAAAAATTTATGAAATGTGGTTCTTGGTAAACATTCTCCTTCAAAATCCATTTTTTTTGACAGTAAAGTCTTAGACCTTCTACCTTCGGAGTCCCGGATGGATTGCAAATGCCTGGATGTGCATGAAGCTTTTATTTCAAAACTGTGATCAAGTTACATTTTAAGAAAAATCAAATTCATTAGAGGCCTGAACACAGTTGCTGTTGGCTTTAAAAAATTACATAAGATAAAAGAATAAATTATTCAAAGGCAGAAAAAAACCCAAAATATGCACTTAAGAATTTTCACTGTTTTATACTACTTTGAGGCTTAAGAAGGGTCTCTACTTATTTCCATACTTATTCCTAATATTTCCGTCTATTCAGCAAAACCCATTTAAGCCTTTCAAATTTTTTTCTCGTTTTCCAGAAAGCTATCGTTTCTTAATAGTAAAGCAGCCCTGTTATTTTATATTCCGTTATAAAAGCAAAATCCATTTTGCAATCTGTGCGCTCTTTCTAAAAATACCACGTAAAGGAAAGGCTGTAAACAAGGGATGTGAAACTTCAAACCATTTTTGTTTTAGTTTGGCCTTTTCATCTTTTCTAAAAATGAATATTTGCCTCTATTAGATGTTTTAGCTCTTAATCTGCCATAGGCCTTGAAGATTCGTATCTGTACCCCAGTGTGCTCCTCAGTTGTGGTCACTGATCTTTATCTCACAAAAACAGCTCGCACAGTCCACGGATTACTCATTACTATCCCCTTTGTTGCCACTTTGTGAGCAAGAAAGTCACTTCAGCCATCAGATGTGCGGGTCATGGCGAGCTCGTCAGAAAGGCGGTATTTCCAGTTCTTGGGTTTTTGAGTGTGAGCCCAGAACCTTTGCCAGAGGACGCCAGCATCTCAGCAGTTAAGAACTGATTTTAATCAGCTGAGATATATATCCCAAGCAGAACATCCTCATGAAGCAGGCTGCATATTCCCTGACATGCATAGAGTGTAGTAGAAGTGGATGCTGTGGGTGGATGGCGAACTGTCCCGCAAGAGAACACTCATAATTTAGCTGTGAAAATATCAGTGTTGCTATACTTCATACATGTTTGTCATGTGCAAAGTTTAAGTACTTCCTTTTTAAAAGGTGTTCGTGAAACACCTCACTTGATAATGATTTCTAATGATAGCTTCTAATGAAGCCATCAAAAACTAGAAAGTAACTCTAGGGATACTAGCTTAAAGGTATTTCTGAATTACAAGCACCCTCTGTTTCACCTGGCTCAGTTTGTAGTCGAGATACCTACAGAAAGAGGTAGAAATTGAATCCACTGCTTGCACCTTATATCTAAACCCTCTTTTTTACAGTGAAGAGCGTATCTGAAAAATGCGACACTGATAATTGTGTCCAGTTCTTCTGCTCACATTAATTTGCATTCAGTAGTGCAGGAGGTGGCAGAAATGGTAGCCCAGCAAAAGTCACATTTTCACAAAAAATATACTTGCATTAAAAATAAAATGACAGTGTATAGGGCTTTGGAATATTTTTCAGCTTCCCAAGTGATGCGGCTTGCAGCAACTCTTTGCTGTTAAAATGCATGTGTTAAAAAAGCTTCAGAGAAGAAAATATATTAACAGTTTCATTACTTCTTTGGTAACATAGAGGATACATTGGCTTTATTGGCCAGAGTCAAGCTACAAAATCTTTATAGTTAAAAAAAAAGATAATACAGCTAATGAAAAGACTGAAGATGAAGTTTTCTTTACAGTTTACCTTTTAAGAAAACTCGCATTGCTTTTTCACTGTGAGTTACTCATACAAATTGAAGAATAACTGAAGAAAATATTGATTGACCCTAAAAAGAGAAGAAGAGATCCTTTTGCACAGCTGGTGACCCCTCTATTTGCTTGTACAGTCATCACTCTGGTGTGACTAAATGGGTTATTCGTACAAAAAAGCAACCAGTCTAATTCTTGAATGGGTGTGTGTTGGCGTTTTTTAAAGACATGTAGTAATATTTTCTTTGAGAAGGGTCTGGGCTCTTTTTATACCAACTCCTGGCAGTCAATTGACTTGTACCAAGCAAAAATCATGTATTTTCCACTGGATCCACGTATCTGCTTTTACACATAAATAACATTTACTAAGAAAATAATGCTATTCTCCTACAATGTCAGAAAACCAAAGTTAATGCTTATTTTCATGGTGTACAGGAAGTCTATCATGTTAAGAAGTAAATTATTGATTATCTTTTTGTATAGAAATAATTTGCTATAAGAGATGTTATTTTTGAAAACATTTATATTTAGTTATCAATTTGGAATAATTTTAATTTTTAGTGAAATTATGCTAATATTTTTCTTGTAATAAATTATTCATGGATTATGTGCTAAATGTTCTGTGATTTTTTAAACAAGGGATAAAAAGCAGTGTAATTCATATTTCTGGTAAGCATTTAAATGCTATCTGATCGATCCAAAGCAAATAATCTTGGTTGTAGCAGCTGGCCCTATGCACACGTAAGTGGATTCTGGATGAAGGTGGTCTGGCTGGTGTCCTTGCAATTCATATGCATCTGACCTGATCATGGCCTTCTTTTAGTAGCTTTGAGTTTTACTAGTTATTCTGATAGGAAAGAGAATTTTCTACTCCCCTAGAAAAGCCATGTGCAAAACTACTATATATTCACCTAAAGTCTCTAATGATATGATGGAATTGGATGGAAGAGTATGGGGAGATCAAGAGATTTTAGCCTCTCTTACAGAATTGCCCGGTTTGTCCAGATGTGCTATTTTTACCCTAGTGTTTGTAGGAGGACTTCATGCTGATGGTTAGTAGTCAAAAGACATGGATTTTGAGGGGCAAAAATAATGGGCAAGTGAAATGCCTTCCCTTCCAAACTAGGGAAGAAAACCCAAAGCTGATGTGTTAGTAATCTCTTTCTCATGGCCAGTCTCAGTGGAGAGTATTTCAGTGAGCTGTCAGGTTTTCCAGGCAGTGAAATGAAGGATATTATCTAAAGTAATTGAAAGTGTTTTGGAAAGCAGGGGGAATGGTTAAGAACTAGAACAAAGAAAACCTCAGAGGCAATACATTGCTAATCTAATTAGGGCTTTTAAATGCTGATACAAAACAAATCTTGGCAGCTACTCATTTCTACCACACCTCAGGACAAATTAACAGGCAATTAAATTCATTACATAGCTGTGCTGGTTAAATGTAGGTGGGTCAAGAAGGTAGGTTAAACAATTACAGGGAATTTGGCAAGAAGAAGATAGGTTATTAGTTTCTATACAAGCCTGTTCTACCATCTTCCTTTACTTGCCTTCCCAGCCATGCTGACAACAGCCATGCTATAAAAAATTTTCAGCCCAAAGAGTACCGATTCAAAACTTCAGCCTCTTTACCCATCACAGTTGTGTTCATTCCCATCATATGGAATGATACACTCCTAGCAAACCCCATTCTCTTCCCATTTAAATTCCAGCAAAACAACACTGGCAAGCGTGTTAGAAAATACTCACAGCAGAGTGGGTTTCCTGTAGCTGACTCCTTCCTGGCAGGTTTTGAAGTGGTGCCGAGGTTCAGAGCAGGATGGGGATGCAGAGCGGAGGCCAGGCTGGTGATGCAGGAGGGAGGTGAGGCGTTTGGTCATGTGCGTTAGTGTGTCGCCAAGGCCTCCCCGTTTGTGAAACTTTACAGAGGGGGGCAAAAAAGTTCATCTGAAAACCAGATGGCACTGAAGGTAAATGTCACCAGGCTCATGCACACAAGTACTTGATCTCCATTGCTCGTCAGGAACGCTTTTCATGAGGGAAGTAATTTCATTTTCTGAAAATACAATCCAGTTTGTCAGCAGTGCAGCTTTTTTATAGAAAAGAGGAAATATCCTAAGCAACTGGTGCACATAGGCTGAGAATTCTGCTTTTTTTTTTTTCCATAACACTGACTTGCTACAAGTTTTCTGATGTTTGATCTGGGAACATCAACCGAATTTTTACAAGTGCTGAGCACTCATACCGCCTTTGACTAGACATTCTCTGTATGAGGATGGTATAATGTCTCCTTCTAACCTTTATTGCTCTTCCAGGTCTCTCTTTTATCACACAAAGGTTTTTTGAAAAATACAGCTAACAGACATCCGTTTGCCCACGTACGCCCCTTTATGTTCGGTGACGTGGGTGACATTGACTGTTCAACTGCACACGTACTTACAGTTTTGCCAATTTGAACACGGTCAGAGCTTGAGCTAAGCTCAGAGGCACCACGAGGACTACGGTGGCCTACTTAGTCTTGATTTATGAGTGTAAGTAAATGCACTGTAGACACCTGGCCTTTGTCCCGTAGACCTTTCTTGTTGCTGATTAAGCACTGCTTTCACCGACTCCGAAGCATGTTCTAGTGCTTTTTCATTTATTTACTGCCAACCTGATGATAGCAGCT